AAAAAACTGTCACCAATGAAACTGCAACACGATATTCATCCCTACATATGTGAGCGTGTAGTCTGATAATTTTAAGTATGTTTGCTTCGGTGATTTTAGCACGAAAGAAGAAGGCGATTTTGATTCAAGAACATGTTTCCTGGAACAAGATGGTTACAACAACGTAATCCAGTGTCAGGTAACGTGTTCGAAACATGGAATAAAATCTGGAAGATGTGACTTTTGAAGATGATGTCTGATGTCTAGAAAAGATATCCAGAGAACTTTATAGAAATCTTCAAACAGATTTTTGGAATAATTTCTGTGCTTCCAGGTATTATATGAAAGAATATCTGAGAGATGTGATTTGGATTACTGGATAGATGGGAAGCTTCACGCATTATACATGATCAACCTGAAGTCTTGAAAAACGCACCCAGAGAAGTTTTTGTAGACCTGTGAGCACCTGAAGGTCTTTGCAATAATTTCTGCGGCACCTGATATCATGAGAGAATCTCTGAGCGACGTGATTGTAATTGTTGGACAGTTAAAGATCTTCAGAATAATACTTGATCATCCTGAAGTAATGAAAAAATATTCTGAGAAGTTTATAGAGACTGAGCTCTTAACGGTCTTTGCAATAATTTCTGAGTAATGGTAGGTACATGATTTAATCTTGCCTTCAACCCCTTCATTTGATTGTTGAAAAAAATGAGGCGATAGTTCGATCACAGACAAACAGACATAACACATTGAATAGTTTCCACTGTAAACCATCGTCACTAAAACACTACCGCCATCTGTTGAGAACACTGTCACAGGTAGCATGCTCAACAGGTGGCAGTAGTGTGTAAACGTCAAACGCAAGGAAATTTACTATGGGCGCCACCAGCCAGTGGATGTGCTATCAACTAATCGACCGTTAAATGCGTGTTCGATGTACACGATGCGAGTGTTCTGTCTGTTTGTCTGTGGTTCGATGAAGATTTGCAGGTTTTCAAAAGATATTGTTTTCGTTATTAGTGACCTTCATGGCCTATAAAATGCTGAATTTATTTTTCAAAGTGCTAATTTTATAAACGACGATTTCTTGTTCATTTCTTATTTTTTGTTGAACGTTTTTGAAATTTTCCCTGGGACATTCATTGTGCTTTTTGTGTGTTTTTTACCTTTATATTGCTCAAACGACTATTTTAGCGCTATTTTGATTTTGTTTAATGATACCTTTTTCAATGAGACCCACATTCGTTAATCTTCTTTATCGACATCGCCTTTGTTAGCCAAGACACAGTATCATTACTTATCCCTGTCTTGAAAATTGATCTGGGTTATTGGCTCATAAACTTTCAGTGTTCGTTTTTAATTGCTCATTTTTACTTTCCTTCATGAATTATTTTCTTTTCTTTAAGAACGATTCATATTTTACGATGGCTCATCCTCATGTTCAAGCATGCATTTATCTCCTGGTTTCTGGAACTTTTTCAGTTTTTAAAAGATATTTTCATTTTCTTTTTGGGATGCAACTTTTTTTTTTTTGTTTATTGGTGCACCCCTGTAGTATTTAGTGGCCAATTTGAGATTTTTTATTGCTTGTGCTTTGTTGATTAGGGTACGTATATATTTTAGTCATTTTTTTTTTAATTTCTGTGCAGTTTGGGATCTTCAGAATACTACCTGGACAACCGGTAGACTTGAGAAAATATTCTGAGTACTTTAAAGAGATCTCTGATTACCTGAAGGGTTATGAAACACTTTCTGAGTCGCTTGGTATCATATGAGGGATGTGATTTGGATTGATCATTATTTATGGAGATTATATGTAATATCACCTTATGGTCTTTGAAATATTTTTTAATCAAACTAGTATCGTGGGTGAATATCTGAGAGACGTGATTTGAATGATTGGACAGTTGAAGACCTTCAGAATAATACAGCCCTGCCAATTTAGAATCGGTACGCTTTCAATCGGGTGTATCTCAGAATATGTGTGGTTTTAATAAAACTTTATTTGAAGAAATTATTAAGTATTTATTGTAGTTTAAAGGTACAATATGGGTTTTGCGAATTCATGCTTTGGGCTTGATACGTGCCATCAACTTCTGTACAAGCCGCTGGCTATATCCTTCTGAAAAGAGCTGGGGAGTTAAATGGAGCTAGCTTTACTTTGATCAGACGTCAATAAGTGGTCCATTTTACCCGATTACCCGAAATTAAATACTTGGAAAGCAGAATTTGACGGACATAAAATTGAACTTTATCCACTTAACTATTGTACAATTATCCAAGGAATTGAATGCTGTGAAGTTCACCAAGTGGTGAACATTGTAAAACCCCATTTCATCCTATTTCCTCCCTCAAACTTGAACAAGCTCATATATCATGTGGTTTTATAGATAAGCGTCATAAATATTACACGCAGTTGCACTATACTTACGTAAAAATGTCCGGAGAATAGAATGATGATGGTTTAGAAAATCAGCGATGTGTTTTTTTTTTTCGTTTATAAGTTATATTTTTTGAAGTTATCAAAGTGTTTCAAAAAGTATGAATTCTATGAAAAAGGCTGAAAATTTTCAGAATTTTTCCTCATGACCAAAAATTACATTTTGCATCTTCAGACCAACCATTTTAAATCAAGTATTAATTTTTCGAGACGTAGTGGATTTAAAGTAGATTTTTTATAGTGTAGGAAGTTTTTGGCCATTTTTGAATGTATTTCGTGTACACAAAAATTTCTCTTGATGAATTTTTTTAGAGCGCAATTTTGTTTTCAAATAGTTCCAGATGTCCTCTACAACATTGCCAGAGGTACCAAACTGATATGACAAACATTTTTCGAGTAACAGTTTTCTGTAGATAAGCTTAACATTTTCTATAGGCCTTTTTAAATATTAAAGCTCGATTTAAAATGGTGATCTGAAGATGCAAAATGACACTTTTGGTCATGATAAACGTTTCTGAAAATTTTCAACCAAATAAAAAAAATACGAAAATGAAATCGTTTGTATTTGATATTGTTCAACAAATCATAACCCGAAAACGTCACTTCCTGTCGAAATGACGCGACACAAAGTTATAGGAAAAAATAATCGTTTTTCACAAAAAGTGTACTCAGTAAAAAGTTTCTAAAATGTTGGAAAAATATATATAAAGTGTCCAATATTTGAATAATTTAGGCTTCTCAAAAATACTATTTATGTATAAATATCAAGTTGGACACTACAAAAATCATAAAACAAAAAGTTTGGTTAAAAATCTTGAATTTTTTGATTTTTTTTTTGTTAATTTCTGCACAGATTTTTTTTAAATTCCGGAAAATGGGTTTCAAAGTAAAATTTAATAAAAAAAATCGTTTAAAAAAGTTAAAAAAATGTGTCTAACAGATGTTGCTCGACGATGAACTTGAAAATTTCACGGAAGATAAAAATTTTCATAAGGTTTAAAATGAAAAACATTTAAAAATATTCAAGAGGGTGATTTTTGGTTATTTAAGTTTTAAACACTTTTTTGGCTTTTTCCCTAAAATTATTTAAAATTTCATAAAAATGTATTTTCCTAAAAATAAAATTTTAGCTCAACCACAGAAGGTCACATCAGATCGATTCGTCATTTGGCGTGGAACTGTTCTAAAGCTATAATAACATATTGATTACTTATTTTGTTTGTTATTAACGAAATTACTAATATCAAATCGCAAACATGGATTTGTTATCAAGAAAACAACCTGAATACCTTATTAACTACATGGTTGCACTTACCTCCATTGTTGAAAGACATGCTTTTCTCACTTTTCGGATCTGCTACGGGAATGTTGAAAAAAAAACTTCACTTCACTATAAAAGGATTATTTTCTAAGTAATATGCGTTTAATGCAGCAAAACCGATCAATGTGTGACCAAACCTTGTTATATTATCACTGAGCCTACTTTGATTCAGTCTTTGTCAAATACGCGCTGTCACTGAACTACGACGACCGTTTAAAAATACAAAACAATCAACGAGGATACTAAAAGTGGCAAATTTTTCAAATGAATTTGAAATCACTTTTGAACAAGCTTTCATTGTATTCAAGATTCATCTGCCGGATTTTGCCGGATTTTTGTCTGTGAGGGCACAAAATATGTAAAAAAATTTTCTAAATTTGTTAATAACTCAGCTTGTGTGATCGATACCTTTTGGACGTCTTTAACAAAGTTTGGTATTTTGATAAAATACAAATATTTGCACAGCATTATAGTCTTCTAAAACCTATAGTTTTTGAAATATGTTTTAAAAACTGAAAAAAACTTGATTTTGTTGAACAGTCATATAAAACGCTACGTATCTCAAAAACTAAGGAATAAAGAGGATAAGTGTGTTTAGCAAAGATTTTTGAAGTATTTTTTTTTTTTTATCTTTATTAAGGAGACTTTTAGCCGTTGGCTGGCTCGTCTCCGATTTTTGAAGTAAAATTATCTACAACTATCTTGTAAATGTAAAAAGTTAGATTTTGCAGCGCCGCTTGTGGTGGAGTTCCGAACTAAAACCTGTCACTAGTCTTTGCGCCTTATTTTATACAAAAACTCTTTAAAATACATCATAGTGAAAAAAACCGACATTGAAGGCGCAAATAAAAAAGTTCGTGATATTGAGCATTCGAACCACTGTGCAACGGTGCCGCTATAGAATATTTTGAATTGAAATGGGGTAGTTTTTGACGTTGGGGGTTTTAGAGTTAAACAACCAAAGAAGAAAGGCCAGCTGCACTATGCCCTGAGTGATCTAGTTAACTCTCGTCCATGCTTTCGACCTATTCCGACTCTCTTCGTATGTACTTGCTCACATATAACTGATAATACATGTTTTCTCTTTCCCATTTCTTCTATTTCACGCTTTTCCTTCATTGTAAAAAAATCGACTTTCCAACACAAACAAACTGCTCCACACTACTCAACCTCAACTGCAATGATAACAACAATGACACCGACGACGGAAAACAAACGCACCACACTCGATTGGCGGGAATAAAAACAGCAGCAGCAGCAGCAGGATATCCTCTCAGCATAAAGGACGCAAGAATGCGAAAGCTGAAGGAGCGCAAACTAGCAAAGTCGACAACATCCTACAGCAACGGGAGTCCCAACCGTGGCCAAAACACCAGCACCAGCAGCAGTCCCAACCCCGGGAGCTGCGGGAGCAACAGTAGCAGCACCGATGCACGATTAAAATCGCTGGATGCACTCGCTGTAAGTACTAGACTCTATGTATGTATGCCTATATGCATCTACACTCACAAACCTACACCATCTGGGTTGGGGTCGCTCCTGAGCTTGGAAAATTATGATTTTTCCCACATTACTTTTTTTTTGTTGGTTCGCAACGTTTGCTCTGGGTAAACAAGGATTTTCTCCCGGGGAATCAAAAGTGGCTCGTTCCTTCTTGTTTTTTTTTTGGCCAAAATATCGATTAATTTCAACCAAACATACATACACACAACCCATTTCAACTCTTCCGAAAGCGAAAGAGTGTGTAGGGCGGGCGCCAACACTGCGTCAATGACACCGTGCCCGATGAGGGTGGCGCAACGGGGGAGGGAGCGCGAGCAGTTCTGGGCTCGGACGGATGATGGGTTTGTGCAAAATTCGATACGAAAAGTGTGAAGTAGGAACACCCTGAAAAGTTTTCTGTACCTACTACCAGTGTGACACAGCCAGCAGCAGTAGCATAGGCAGGAAAATTTTCCATGGATCCACCTACCACCGACCACCGCAGTAAATATTGATTTGTTTTCCTATGCCACCGACGACGAAGCTGCTGCTACTGCTGCTGCTTTGGATGGTACTGACTTCAGTTGGTGTCTCGAAAGTTTGGATAGGTACATAAGGCTCGAAAAGAGAGGTGACAAGGAGACTGTGACTGTGGAAGGTGGGACCAATGTGCTGGCGGTAAGCTGGGTATCCCCAATAACAAAGTTTTGATTGCAAAATTCCAATTTTGGATTTCATCAGCCAATTGGGAATTGAGCAGGTAAAAGTCAGAGCTGATTCATAGTCGAGCGATGAATTTTCTTCCGTGAGTCAAGTGAAGATCTTTCACGAAGGTTCTTGTACTTACAGAAATTTTTTTTAGACTTATACTCAGTTCCCTGAGCTCAAAAGAGGCTCCCCGAACTTCTTTCCAAAACGTTAATCCAAAGTTTCCTTAGCCTAGAAGAAGTTCCCTAAACATGTAAAATGCTCCATAAACTTCTACGGTTTTCCATAGCTCATGTAAAGTTTGTGGAAATTCACAACCAAGTTTGCAGAATTTAGTACGTAGAATTTAGAAGTTAGTACGAATTTATAGCGGCGCTGGTGGTGTAGTGGTAAACGTGATTGCCTCTCATCCCAAAGGCCTGGGTTCAATCCCAGTAGGCGCCGTCGGGATTTTCTGAAGCATATAATCTCTGATCACGCCTTCCTAATAGTAAAGTCGTTGGTCCCCGGTCTATAAGTTTATGGGTCGCAGTGTTGGAAAAGTTCGCGATATTTCACGAAGTTCTCCAAGGGAAAAGTTCTCGAGTCATAGTGATTTTTTGCGAACTTTTCCATCACTGATGGGTCGATAGGTAGGGTCCAGGTGTGGGAGCTGACTCTCTGGTGTCTATTATGTGAGGTGCCTGGGGGTACCCGGAACATGGCGTGGTCCTGAATGCTCCAAATTACTAACATTAAACTGGTTTTGAATTCTCATGTGATTTGAGACACCGCATGATGGATTTTGACCCTATTCAGAACTGGTCACTTCTGCGGGGGTACCGAAACATTTCCGAATATAGTCAGTGTAATCCTGGGCACTTCAAAAGACTACCATTAAACTGCATTCTGCATTCTCATGTTATTTGATGTGTCACATTATGGGTTTAATTCACTTCAGGTCGGATTTAGTAACAAAGCCCATACAAACTGGACGCATGCATAAATGACGTAGCATTTGTGGGGAGAGGGGGTTCAAAAGTTGTAATCAGCCATGTATTTGGTATAGCAAAATACGCTATATATACAGGTCTAAAATTGGTAATAAAATATGATACGTCATTTATGGATCGTCCCAAAATGTTTCGGCCATGTCTCCAGAAGCAGTTGACCGATTCCAAAACTATTCAAAAGGGTTCTATGAGACCATGATATCTTACATTTGATGGCTATTAAGTCCAGTTTGGTTCAGTGGTTGCTAATACATACGACTTATTTTCTGTAATCCGTATTCATTTGAACTTGTTCGGGCCATATCTTCAGATCCAGGTGTCCAGGTGTCTATGAGACCATTAACCTTTGATTTGATGGTTGTTACGTTCAATTCGGTTTAGTGGTTGCCAAAAAACATCAATTAAATCCCAAAATCCGTATTTTTCGGATTTTGTACCGACCATGTTTCCGGAACCGGATGTTCGATTATAAAACCATTCATTGCAGTTCTATGAGATTATTATACCTTTCATTTGATGGTTGTTGTGTCCAATTCGGATTAGTGGGTGCCGAGAAACACAACTTCATTCGCAAAATTCGTGTTTTACGGATCTTGTTCCATCCAAATCTCCGGAACCAGTTGACGGATTCCAAAAATATAAAAAAAAAGTCTTATGGGACCATGGAACCACAGACAAACCGACGTAACACTTAGTTCTGGATAATCGTTCACGCATTTAACGATTGATTTAAATATTATCATTTGCGCGAACTTCTCACCGCAGCGCAAGCATCGAAACACTTTGACGTTTCTATGTATTATGTTTACCTTGCATGCAACATTGTTAGCGACATAGCGAGAAAGCTTATTTTCCGCTAGAAGCTCGAGAGATGTTACTGGTGTCCTATTTATTGAGGTACAATGTTTTCAAGGAAAACTTATTCAAAGAGTTACTTCTGTTTGTCTGTGATGAAACCTTTCATTTGGTGGCCTCTGAGCCTCATGAAAGTCGGTTTTCTAAGCAATGTTCGCATACTAAAACGTTCCCTAATATTCTACCAAGTTGTGCACATTTGTACAAAGTTCTCACTTTTACGAAGTTCTTGATTTTTGTCAAAATTCCCTAAATTTTTACGAAGTTCTCTAAAGCTCTACGGAGCTCCTAGAATTTCTATGAAATTTCCTGAATTTTAACGATGTTTCCTGAACTTCCATAAAGTTCATGAAGTTTTACAAAATCGCCTGAAGTTGAAATAAAATCCCTGAACTTCAATTTCAACTAAATTCACTTCTCTAAAGTTCACCAAATGTCTACACAGGTCGATGAAGTTTTACAAAGTTTACTGAACTTCTACAACATTCAGCTACTGAAAAAAAAATCATCTTACTGGGGCTTAACTAAATCTATATTTTTTGACGGAGCTGGAGCACAAGAATAAATAACATTGTTTAACTAATCTATCCAACAAATTTCAGCAATCTCGTACTGAAACAACAGTAAATTTATTTTCATTCAGTTTCCACTGATAATTCAGTACTTTTCAGCTGTATATTGTTCAACCAGCAGCCAATTTTGCTTTTCAATAACATTTAAAAAATACTTTTCCGTCTACATTATTCAAACCAAACCTGCAAAATCATAAGATTGTTTCTATTAATCAAAACTTACCAAACAATGTCTTGAAATCCCAGCTGTCTGGCGTCAGTCTTTGGACACCAATTTACATTTCCCGCTCCAGTTTTACACAAAATTGTATAAGCTCATATAATTATTTAAAAAATACACACCGTGTTCAGCAGGGATGGATCGATTTTTGGAGCAACGTTCATTACTTTTTAACATCAAAAGACGAATGGTTCCGTTTTCAGGCCACAACTGCAAATCGCTTACCTAATCATGGCCTTCTTCACCAACTTGTCGGCAAACACGAACTTGAATCTTCCCGACACATCCCCACGTCCAGTCGCGATGTAAAACTTTTGACCGAGAAGCTGCTTAAAATCGAGTTTGACGTATGTTTCGTCATCGATCAAAGTGCAGCCCTTGTGTTTCGTCAAAACACGGTCGTACAAGATCCTTGCACGCTTTTCCATTTGTCCGAAAGTAATTTTTTTTTAAACTGAAGTAGTTGAAGTTCCAGCTCTAGTGTGAAGACAGAGTAGGATCAGGAATATTCAGCGGTAGCGTGCAGAGAACAATAGGCCTTCCGTCAATAATGCGATCAAATCGGCTGTTATCGGGGCGAGTACAATAAATGACCTGATCATTCTGTCCGACTCGACTAGCTGTCTTCAAGCAATAGAGAGTGGCAAATCGCAGCAACCTTGGATCCAAGAAATTGAATGTCTGCCTCGAAACCATCCGTGGCAACGAAGAAGCGAACCGACTCACCGGAGAAGCACGAAATTATCCGCCACTCAACATCGGTATTGCAGGAAAAGATGCCATTAAGGCAATGAACCAAGCCGTTCGTCAACAGTGGGAGGCACGATGGGCGCAACTTAAAGAAGTCAAGCTGAAAGATATAAAACGTGACACGAAAAAGTGGATCGATCAGAACAGTTCTGCCGACCAACGAGTACTCACTCGTCTGCGCATCGGTCATACCAGGCTGGCACACGAATTTCTATTGAAGAAATCATCGCCACCGACATTCGAATGCTGTGGAACGGTTATGGATGTCCGGCACGTAATTCTACACTGCAGGACGAAACATAGAATCGATCCAACTAGTCTTCACACGGCATTATGCAACGCTGATGACAGTGGAAAGCGATTGCATGAAGCTAATATTCTATCGAACATGGTGAAAATGGGGTAAAGAGAGAAGCGGATTCAGAGGACGTTACGGACAACAGAAGAAAACAGAGGATGATGGAGAAGAAACATACAAACTGGGAGCAGAAGAAGACATGAATGGAAAATAAGATTAATAAAGCGGGGCAAAAAATCAAGAAGACGAAGGAGAGGAGTTGCCGCTGCCTGATGACGTAGAGGGCGAAGCAAAACGAAAAGGGGTGAAAGAAAACGGAAAGGTGAAAACAGACTCAAGCACGGATGAAGAAGATGGCGACAAAAAAGGTGAAACCGGAAATCAAAAGAAGCGGAAAATCGGAAAATGAAAATCAGAAGTGGATGGAAATCCAAGAAGCAGGAAATATGAGATGACGAAGGGAATTAGCAGCAGGCGGAGAAGAAGAAAGTTTAAGATAATTTTATGGTGGCGAAATTAATGAAATGAAATTTAATCTGAAGTAATGAATATGTAGTAGAACGAAGCAAGAGAAGAAGATGCTG